GCAGCAGCAGCAGCAGCAGCAGCAGCAGCAAGCTTCAGAGGGACAGGTGACATTGCACTGGCAGCAGCTGAGGTCACCCAACGCTTCTTTCTTGCACGACAATGCAACAAATGGGCAAAATGCATTTATTTTTCTGCATTAAAGTCTCAAAATTGTTTATTTAATTAAATTTATTTGTTTTAAAACATAAGTTTCAGCAAAATGAACCGCGAAATGCGGAAACAGACAAAAAGAAAGGCCGAGTCACCTTCGATGCTCCCGCCTGCAGCTGCAGCGGGGCATTAAGGGTCTTCTTGTGCTCGAAATTAAGAAATATATCTTTAAAATGGTATTTAATTTTAAATTGAATACCAAAAGTATTTTAAATTAAATATTTAAAATACTTTTTTTACACTTTTCGCTTTTTTTCTGCTGCGCGCTTTCCCGCGGCGGCGCTGGAGCGCTGCGGCGGCTGCGCTGGGGTGTCCGTACACCCCAGAAAGCCGCCTTTAGGATCTTTTTATTGGCTTTTTAGACTTTCATTTTTAAATTCTTTTTCTTTTCTTTTGTTGGCTCCGGAAAGCCGGATCAGGGATCCAGTATTTTGCTCTTTTGGCCCTCATTTTTAATATATCTTCACTTTCCCAATCCCCCAATAAGAACTTCCTCAAATGGCTCAGAGGCAGCAAGGTGAAGTTGAAGGAGGCGGAGGAAAAGCTGCTGCTGCTGCTGCTGCTGCTGTTGCTTCTGCTGCTGCTGCTGCTGCTGTTGCTGCTGCTGCTGCTGCTAGTGGCGGCCGCTGGGCTGGTGGCAGCAGTGCTATGATCTTCATGGGGAAGCAGCAGCAGCAGCAGCAGCAGCAGCAGCAGCAGCAGCAGTTGGCCGTTTCGAAGTGGACCACTGGTCCCTCACTGGTCCAGTGGACCACTTTTGGTCGCAGCAGCAGAAGGCCCGGGCAGCAGCATGTGGGGCCTTTCTCCTCCGAGCTGTCTGTACACCCGGAAGGCCATGCGGCTTTGCTGCACTTCCCTCAGCAGCAGCAGCAGCAGCAGCAGCAGCAGCAGCAGAAGTTGCAGCAGCACCAGTGACTGTCTGCTGCACTTCACAAAGAGGAGCTGATAATCTTGTCTGAGGCACTTCATTTCTTTAATCATTTATTTTATTTTTTCTTTTGTTCTTTATTTTATTTTAATTTTTCCTTTTATTTCTTATTGTCCCCTTGGTCTTCTTATTATCTTTTTTATTTTTTCTTTTGTGTTTCTTTTAATTCTTTCTTTGTTTTTATTTATTTTATCATTTTGTCTTTTCATTCTTTTTTGCTTCAGTTTTTTTTTCTTTTTCTCCTTTTCTCAATTTTAATATCTTCTTTCTTACCTCATTTTAATTTCTTTGTTTTCCTTTTTATTTTAATTCCTTTCTTTTTGCCTATTTAAACCTTTTTTTGTTTTCTTTTTGTCTCTTTGTTTCTTTTTCTTTTGTCTTTTTTCTTTTATCATCTTCTTTGATTCTTTTTTGTTTCACTTTTATTTATTTCCTTTGAATTTCCTTTTAACTTCTTTTTAATCTCATTTTTGTCCTTCTTTTACTTCTTGTTTTTTGTCCCTTTGCCTTTTCTCTTTTTGTTACTTCGATTTACTTTAAACCCTAAACCCTAAACCCTAAACCCTAAACCCTAATCATGTCTCATTTTCCCCTACTTGCTGCTTTTGCTTGGTGCGCTTTAAGCCTTTTGCCTCCCCTAGGGTTTAGGGTTTGGGGCTAGGGTTTAGGGTTTGGAGCTAGGGTTTAGGGTTTGGAGCTAGGGTTTAGGGTTTGGAGCTAGGGTTTAGGGTTTGGAGCTAGGGTTTAGCAGGGGCATTGTTAAGAAGCAAAAGTACAAAACGAAGTTAAGTTTGAACCCTCGGCGTCGAGGGTTTGAGAGGAGGGTTTGAGTCTAGGGTTTAGGGTTTGAGTCTAGGGTTTAGGGTTTGGGTCAAGGGTTTAGAATTTCAGATTAGGGTTTAGAATTAGGGTTTAGGGTTTAGATGTCTTCATCGGATTCGTCATCAGACAGCCTCCGTCTTCGAATCTGCAGCAGCAACAGCAGCAAAACAAATTTGACTTTTTCTTTTTTTTTAATTTCTTTTAATTTCTTTTATTTATTTTATTTTCTTCAGTTTATTTTATTTCTTTTATTCTTTTTATTTCTTTTATTCTTTTTATTTCTTTTGATTTCCTTTTATTCACTTTCGCTTTTCTTTATTTCCTTTCTCTCTTTTGAATTCCCTTTATTACTTCTAACCACCAACTATGCATCAACTGAACAACTGGATTAAATAAAACAAATTAACCAATTTAATTAATTAATTGATTAATTAATTAATTAATTGTATTAATTAATTAATTAAATTAAATAATTAAATTAAATAATTAAATAATTAATTAATTAATATTTACCACAACGGCTTTATTCTCGGCCCTGCTTTTGGTTTCGGCTTCGCTCATTTGCTGCAGAATGCCCACAAGTGCGGCGTCGCTCACG